CTCTCTCTCTCTCTCTCTCTCTCTCTCTCTCTCTCTCTCTCTCTCTCGTGTGTGTGTGTGTTTGTGTTCTTTGTCGTTTAAGCCTGGGTGTTCTTATGTAGTGCTGTAGGCTGGCCTGGAACTTTCCAGGATCACAGGCATGCACTAGCACACCCAGTGAGCCTTTGATTTTCGCGGTGTCTTATTTACCTAATCCATAAGTTAAATATGTTCCATCTCCTCAGAGTTTCCGTAGCAGGTTTATCTGCTCTGCATTACTTTGCTGGCTAGTCTTACGTTGACACACAAGCTAGAGTGAGCTGAAAGGAGGGAAAAATGCTTCATTATATCCAGCTAATCAGTGATTGATGGGCGAGGGCCCAGCCCATTGTGACTGGTTCCATCCCTGGGCTGGTGGTCCTGGATTCTGTAAGAAAGCAGGCTGAGCAAGCCATGGGGAGCAAGCCAGTGAGCAGCACTCTCCCCCTCCCCCACCCCCACTCCCCATGGCCTCTGTATCACCTTCTGTGTCCAGGTTCCTGCCCTGTTTTGAGTTCCTGTCCTGATTTCCTTTGGTGTTGAGCAGTGATATGGAAATGGAAGCTGAATAAACCCTTTCCCCGACAACTTGCTTTTTTGTCATGGTGTTTCATTGCAGCAGTAGAACCTTAGCTAAAATTACTTTTTTTGAGTATGTGATGGATCAAAGTCCAGCATTCTCTAAACTAGCTGGAGTTTGGACCCAGACCTCTCTTTTGGTAGCTGATCACCCTTTACCCAGTGGAAGAGTGGAACTTGATCTGTTTCTTGTATTTTGTAGCAGGGAAGATGATGGTGTATTTATACACGTTCTCAGAGATTGTTATTGAACTTTCTGGTTCAGTCCAAAAAGGACCTTGTACTGGAACCTATCCAGAGTGCTTTGGAATGCTTTCTCAAGTTAGAAGGGTATGGCAGCCCTTACCTTTTCTTTTCTTACAAAGCTGGGTTTTGTAACTTGTGCTTCCTTTTGAGACTGTCATCTTCTTTACTGATTTATTTCCCATGGATTTGGTGTAATGGGAGGAGGTGGGGCAGTTTGCTGACTAACCCTATTCCAGCCCCTGGGCCAATGAAGAAGATCAGAGCAGGGCCTTTGGCTTCTGAGGGCTCTGCCAAGCTAAGCCCATTCATTAAGAAGGGGATGATGCCAGTCCTAGGGCCAGAGCAAATGGGAGGGGCAGCAGTCTGGGAGATGATGTCAATGTTTTCTGAAGGGCCTGGCCAGCCATTAGGTGACTCAGTGTGTTTCTTAGCACCTCATCCAGGAGGCAGGACAGAAGCTGAGGCCTTTATCTTTTCCTGTTCGGGTGGGACTGTTCCTGTCTTGGCACCAGGTCTGTAGGAAAGCCTTCATTAATCATTTCCCTGCCTGAAGTCTGATTAGACTGAGTACAGACTCAGTCAGGTAGGGAAGCCAGACTGAATTTCAAAGCTGTTCCAGGGCACTGGCCTGGAAAGCAGACCTGTCTTGAGTCTTATGTTACCATATAGAAAATAGATCTACTGATTCCGGCTTCAAATGCTGACAGTTAACAGCAGTGTATGGAAAGCACTTTAGCCCCATGGTCTAGCCTAGGTTTCCTTTCTTGTCAGCGTAGTAGTGGATAATAGTATAGCTTCTGAGTTGGAATTCACGATGTAGTTGAGTGACCTTGGGGAACTTCATCTTTCGGTTTCTTACTTGTAAATGAAAGTAACATGGGGTTACTGTGACAAAGCAATGCAGACCAGTGACTGGTACAACTACCGGTGCAACAAACCTCACAGTGAACTCATAACCATTTTTAAAAACTCTATATCCTTCACAGTGTAGTTCAAGGTGCTTTAGACACCACTAATCTTCCTCTGCTCATCTTTTTGGGTTCTCCTTAAAAATCCACCTTGCACTGTTTTTGTTTATATTCACCTTTCAGAAAAGTATACGTGGGCTCACCTCGTCTTTCTTAGGCTCAGCATGTCTTACGCTATGTTGTTTTGTCTCCAAACTTCAAAACCAATCCCAACAGCACTGAAATAAGAATTACACTGAGCATGAGACAGCTGAAGTTCCTGAAGTTCCCTAAATGCCTTTTTTAAATTTAAGTTTCTACTCCCAGGACAGTTGCACATTTTTCCTGTCTCCTTCTAGAGGTAGTAATCCTTTATACTTGCTTCCTTTCTGAGCCTAAGGAACACTCGCAACAGCACAGCTTCCGAAAATCGCAGAGGGCTAAAAACCCACCTCCTTCAGTGGCCAGGGCGGCGCCTGCGCAGGACGGTGTCGCAAGCCTGACGTCAACGCGCAAGGCCTCGGTCGGCTCCATGTGACGCTTGCCTCCCACTGCTCCTCCCCGCAGGCCAGCCTGCTTCTGCGCATGCTCTCGACTCCGCCCCCGTGCGTCACAGAATGGCCTCCGACACCCTGGGAGCCCCTGACGTGTCGGGGAGGAGCCCGGTGCGGGGGTACGCGGAGTGGAGCTCAGGGCTGCGGAAGGGAGCAGAGCTGAGCGGCTGGGCGGGCCTGGCCAGGCCAGCGGAGCAGAGACGTCGGTCGAGCGGCGGCGAACATGCGCTTTTGACACATTGGCGGTGAGCTCCGGTGCGAGGCAGCCTCTGGGGTCGAGCTGGGCGGGCAGCGCCGAGGCCTGCCCCTGGGGAGCCTGTCTGACCGCGGGGCTGTGGCTCAGGGCCCGCTGGGCCAGGCCGGGCTTGGGTTCTGGGGCGGCCGGAACGGAGACAACTGTTCCAACCGCTCTAACTGTTCCCTCCTTACTGTCGGAGGTGTGGCCCACCGGGGGCATCTGCAGGAGAACGAGTCCCGGGCTTCCAGAGGAAGAACGGAGGCCGGGACGTGGCACCGGGGGCTGAGGCGCTGACGGCTCGAGGAGTGGCCCAGTTGGGGTGGCAGCGGCGCGCCCAGCTACTCGCTCCACCCACCCTGGATTCCCTGGAGCTGCCGGGGTGGTTAGGAGCATGGCTGAATCTTGATTTCCCAGCGCCCATATGCGTGCGACGAGAGCGGGAGCAGCCCGCGTTGGCAGAGACTGGCAGTCTCGTGACTGCCTACCCCGAACTGCTAATCATCCGCTTTGGAGTTAGGGAAAGTATCACCAACCGACTCCGGTTGCTTGGATTCACTTCTTATTTTTCTCTGGGAAACGATGAGGTGACTAACCCTTTAAGTTTAAGGCGAGTGAGGGTTCTTTTCATTATTAGGGCCCATTCCTGTAGCGTTTGTAAACATTTTAGAGCATTTGTTGTTTGCACTTGTGACGGATACTGTAAGTCACTTTTTGCTGGGTGGGGAAATTGAACCTAGGTGCAGGGAGTGGGGGCAATTGAATGATTTTTATTTGGGTTCCACTAACTGGTGAGAAGTTCAGCTTGAGTTACATTTTACCTTTCTAAGTTCAGGGTTCTGGTTTCTGTTTTCATGAGATTTTTATACCTTCTTCAGCAAGAAAGAGGACTGAACATTGGACTTGTCAAAGATAATACCAGAAGTTGCTACTAGATGACTTATTTGTTTTCGAATAAATTGACCAAAAAACAGCTAATTCATTAGAAAAATCTTACCCTGAAGCTTGCTCTTGAGTGACTGGTTGTTAGTCTGAAAATTATGTTGCTGTCACTGCACTTAAGAGATAGCGTAGTGTCTGCCAAGCCAGAAAGTTGATAGGGCAAAGCTCATCCTTAAGTTGAGGAATCAAAAGAAGCCAAAGGACACCCAGTTGGGGGTATCTCTTCTGAATTGTTGTTAAACTCTTTACTTAGAGTAGGAATTCGTAAAGAACAAAGAAAACCTTTAGCCCCAGTTAGAGAAGGAGCTAACCTTAGTAGAAGTTGCTGAATCTGCAGGGCCTTTGTTTTGAATTAGATAAATTGAAGTTAGATCCGGAGCATTTGAAATAAAAAAAATAGACCTGAATATGCTTTCATGAGACCAAGAAAATTTATTTTCATTTGTATTTTAAACCATTTTAAAATAAACTTGAGGATTGAGGTCTTAAGTTAAAATTAACTTTCTTGGTGCTGTACAGAGTATCTTTGCCGGTGTTAGATGATGTTAGATGCTAACTGTTTAAAGTTTACGTGAGTTAATTGTCAGTTGTTCACATCTAAAGGTTAGAGGGAGTGTGATAGTGTCTGGTGCCGAAGTTGTAATTTTAGACTCATACTCCATGTGAGACCTAGAATTAAGGAAGATGGAGAGGGTCAGAGGGTACTTGTCTGCCTGCGTTGCAGCTTCAGAAAATTGTAGATGTGCCATTTGAGCACTTTTTAAAAAGTGAAAGATTTGACATTGGCTAACTTTCCCCACTTACGTAATCTCAAGTGACAGTGAGCACATCTTCCCAGTGTACCTGGAGGCAAGCGCCACACAGTTTTGAGATCATCTGCAACGCTAGCACATTCGCTATTTAAACCTGTTTTTTAGAAGGATAAAGTTGATGAATAGGTGTAGTGGGATAGAGCTGGGTACTGCCAGGCAAGAAGCAACAAATACACAGTGTGACGGGAGGGTGAGAACTCCTGCTTGCTTTAGTCTAGCACATAAAGCTTATTCCAGGAGAGATGTTAGAGGTCCTTTGGTAATGAAAGGATTTGAGGAATCATATGTGCTTTTTAAATGTGGAAGTCTGTTTACTCTGGTCTAACTTTAAAGGTCCACTTCTGGCCTACTAGTTTCTTACAGTTGAATTAACATTTATGTGGTGTTTATGCATCAGGCTCTGTTACAAGTGCTGTGCCAATAGTAACTCACTTCATCTTCAAAACACAACTAATTTTACTGTTTTATAGGTGAGGAAATGAGGCACTGAGCAGCTGAATAGCTTGCCCATGGTCTCCTAGCTAGGGCATAGAGTGACTCTAGGGTCTGAGCAGATGAATAGCTTGCCTATGGTCTCCTAGCTAGGGCATAGAGTGACTCTAGGGTCTGAGCAGCTGAATAGCTTGCCCATGGTCTCCTAGCTAGGGCATAGAGTGATTCTAGGGTCTGAGCAGATGAATAGCTTGCCCATGGTCTCCTAGCTAGGGCATAGAGTGACTCTAGGGTCTGAGCAGATGAATAGCTTGCCTATGGTCTCCTAGCTAGGGCATAGAGCGACTCTAGGGTCTGGGCTTTTAAGCACTTTGCATGTTGAGCTTTCTGGCTTAATTCATTTTCTTTTAAAAACTTGTTTCTGTGTGTGAGTGTGCACTCATGTGTATGTGTGAGTGTACACTCATGTGTATGTGAATGTGGGTGGCTGCAGAGGGCAGAAGAGGCGCTAGAGGTAGAGAGAGGGAGTTGCCCCATGTTGGTGCAGGGAACCATATTCTAGTCCTCTGCGAGAGCCACTGAACCACCTTTTCAGTCCCCTTTGACTTGTTCTTTTAAAAATTAGATATATTTATTATATTTAATTTTGTGTAGGTATGTGTCTGCATGTGGCATGTTCATGCAAATGCAATGTCCACAAAGACAGGAGGCATCTGAATCCCAGGAGCTGGAAATATATGTATGGTTGTGAGCCTGCCTGATGTGGGTGCTGGCCCTCTGGAAGAGCAGCAAGTACTCTTAACCACAGAGCCATCTCTAGTCCCATAATTTTTTTTTTTTATTATTTTTTGAAAAAGTCTCATGTAGCCTCATGTAGTCTCATGAAGCCTGGGCCTTCCAACATGCCATGAGCCAAAGATGACCTTGAACTTCTGATCCTGTTCTCTACCTACTGAAGGCTGGGATTACAGATATGCTGCACCACATTGGTTTGTGTGGTGCTGGAGATTGAACCTAGGGTTTCATGCATGCTATGCTCTGCAAGTACTTTACCAGCTGAGTCACATCCTTAGCCTCCTCTGACTTATTCTTGATTAAATGTTGTTAGATTTTCTTTCCTTTAATAGGTTCTTGCTGTGTAGCTTCTGGCTGACATGGAACTGATAGAACTGGCTATGTAAATGAGCCTGGCCTGACATGTGTGTTGATCCTCCTGCCTCTCTGGGTCTTCTTACCTCTGTTTCTTCAGTGCTGGGATCATACCTGAGCTTATTCTCTGTCTTCCACATACATGTGCACACATGCATGCAAATCTACATACAATATACACACACATTTATTTACCCCTCTTCATGAACACATACACAGAAGCACACAAAATAATATATAGCTTTAGGCAATTATTCTGGACTGTACATATTAAAGAGCTTCTAGCTTCTCTACACTAATCAATGGAGGAGGTAACTATATTTAACCCTACTTAAGTAGTGTATAGTGTATCTGTATATTGAACATTACATGGTACTCTATTAATACATGGAACTTTTCATGTTTTTTTTGTGTAAACTAAAAAATATGAAAAAATTTCCCGCCGGGCGGTGGTGGCGCACGCCTTTAATCCCAGCACTTGGGAGGCAGAGGCAGGCGGATTTCTGAGTTCAAGGCCAGCCTGGTCTACAGAGTGAGTTCCAGGACAGCCAGGGCTACACAGAGAAACCCTGTCTCGAAAAACCAAAAAAAAAAAGAAAAAGAAAAAGAAAAAATTTCCCATCTTAAGAACCTTAAGAACCGGGCTGGAGAGATGGCTCAGCGGTTAGGAGCACTGGTTGCTCTTCCAGAGCTCGTGAGTTCAATTCCCAGCAACCACATGGTGGCTCACAACCATCTGTAATGGGATCTGATGGCCTCTTCTGGTGTGTCTGAAGACAGCTACAGTGTACTCCTCTACATAAAATAAATAAATAAATCTTTAAAAAAAAAAAAAAAAAAAAGAACCTTAAGAACCAAAAGCTGGGGACAAATGCATAGTTTACAGCATATGTGGAAGTATTGTTTCCTAGGGACCATTGCTGTGCTAAGAGAGTTACCAGTAGGTCCCTTGACATTGTAAAATTAGAGTCCAGGCGACAAAAGCCACCTCTATCTTCACACAGAAAAGTGAGTAGATAAACTTATAGATAAAACTGATTCTGACCTTGCTTGTAGAAGAATTGGTTCCACATTCAAATACCACACATTAAAATAAATGTTAGGTGTCCAGAGAGCCACTAACAGCACTAGACATTCCCATAAGGGCACTGGTCCATGGTATACACGATCAACAATAGTATCAAGTGGTGCATAGTAAAAAATTATATAAAACTTAAAAGTCCCTGTTGATGAGTAAAATGTCAGTACTCAAACGCAGCACTGGTTCAGCCACACATGTAATCTAAGAACAGTCTAAAGTTCAACAAAAAATATTTAGGAACCTCAAATGGCTGCTGAATAGGGTAAAATATCCACTTGGGGAAGAGCAAAGCTAAGATACTGTCATCAGAGTCTACCACAACCAGACAGGGTGTAAAAATGGAGAACACAGGCTTGTTTACTAAATCCTGGAAGCTTGCAGCATAGCAACAGACAAAACTTAGACCACATTCAAGAGTGAAAATAGAAAGCACATTGATGGCTGTAGTTAGTGGATTTATCCCGGTTGTTTAAAATAATACATAATCTATTGAGTTAAGAACTTCAGATTTGGGGACTGGAGAGATGGCTCAGTAGTTAAGAGCACCTATTACTCTTCCAGAAGATCTGGGTTCAATTCCTTGTCCCCACATGCCATCTCATGACCATCTGTAGCTTCAGTTCCAGGGGATCTGATGTCTGTCCTCTTTTGGCCTCCACAGGCATTGCACTCATACACAGACCAAACAAACAAACAAACAAAAAACCCCAAAAACCAACCAAACATACATAGGAAATAATACAAATAAGGCTCTAAAAAAAGATGAAAAAAATTAGATTTTAAGTCATGAGTTCAAATTTTTATAAATAGATGAAGACAGTCTTAAATTATCTCACCCCAGAGGTAGGTAGGAGCGTGTGTGGGTGTGCGTGAGAGAAAGATTGAGAGAGAGAGACAGAAGAGAGAGAGAAGAGAGAGAAAGAGAGAAAGAGAGAGTGTGTTAAAGTACAAAGTGTTCTTATGGCTTTGCTAATTGACAGAAGAGTAAGGACTTCTGTAATTTCTTAGTTAAACAGCCTCGTAGTCACAGTGCCTATTCTGTGTGATTCCCCTCTCCCTTTTTTTCAGAGGTATCTATCTCTATGTTTGAGCCACTCTGGGCTATTGGCCTGGGTGTTATCCCAGGACTTCATTGCAGTCTTGGGTTGCAGCTGCTGTGTTCTTCATCCTGTGCCTTCCAGATCATTTATTTCAACTGATTTGGAGGAATTTATAAATAAGACACACATCTTGCCCTCAGGGAACTAACTAGAGAGACTTAGTCTTTAATTTCTTTTCGTTGGTTTCTTTTGGAAGACAGTGTCAGTAGCAGAGGAGCTTTGTTTCTTGTGCTATCTCTGGTCTTTATAACATTCTAGAAAATATAATTAAAAACATAATTTATTGACATTTTTATTAGAAACTGAATATTTGAGCTGTTCATTGACACATGGTTGCCAGTGTTCAAATAATCTAAATTTAGGGGCAGGGTTGGATTTATTTATTTACTAGGGACGGAACTGAGGCTTTATATATGCTAATTAAATGCTCTACCACTGACCTATGCCCCTAGCTCTTGGGAGTATTTGTTTTTATCTTCATTTTTTAACTATTTTGTGTATATGGGTAGTTTGCCTGCATGTATGTGTGTATACCACTTGCATGCCTGGTGCCTACAGATACCAGAAAAGGCCGTCAGACTCCCTGGAACTGGAATTCTGTAATTTCAATTGCAGATGGTTGTGAGCTGCCATGTGAATACTGGGAGTGGAATCCTGGTCTCTGGGAGAGCAGCCACTGCTCTTACTGCTGAGCACTGTACATGGCCTCTATTGTATAGATTCATAGTTTTTAGGACATTGGGAGAAGATTGTATGTAGAACATTAGAGAACACACAGGGGTTGTTGCTTCAACTCTAGATGTTATCACATATTTCCTGTAATTCTGTCTTTATCTGGATTGTTAAAGTGTACTCCTTTCCTAAGGAGATTTCAGTATTAACCTCGAAGAGTTTGTGATGCCACAGGGTGATGCCTATATTTTGGATCCCTGGCTGCTGAAGAGCCCATTCTTACCCATTGACTACTTACCATATTTCAAGTAGTAACCTCTGTGTTTGTGCAAGGGAAGTGAGAATTTCTGGGACTTTGACAACAGGACAGAATTATGGAACAAACCAGTATTTACTAATCAGTACACATACGTTTATTAGATGAAACAAATGAACAACTGAAGCCCCGAGAGAGTAAGCAGTTTGTATAAGTAATTTAATGGCAGAATTGGAACCCTAGAACTCAGCCTGAACAAGACTCCTAGCCTTGTGTGGTTAACATATTAAAGTACTTTCATGCTATAAAGACATCTCTTAAGAATAGAGCAATACAGACAAGTCTGTGCTAGTGTAGGTGTAATCAGATAAGAGGATGGTGTATTTGGTCGATAAATACATGCCTAGTGCTTAATATCTTAGTATTTGGTGAATGACTGCAGCCTTGGGTGCATTCTCTGAGCAATCTCTTGTACTCAGTGCTGTGGAGGGATGCAATGTGTGTCAAGAATCTAGCTCTTTCAAAGAACATTGAGGGTGATTGGCAGTTTAAGATAACTGGAAGATTTACTAATTAGATACCGAGGTAATAATAGATGGTGTGATCAGCAAAGATTTGGTTAAAGGGACATTGGCCCAGTGTCTCAAAAGATTTAAACTTAGCATATCAAGTTATGTTTAGTTTTATCCCCACTAAACATCATTCTTTTGCCTCTCTTTTATACACTTGAATCTGGAGTTCTTGCTAAAGATGAGTTCTTTCCATTTCAAAGGCTTTTTTTATGTTTTAAGATTGTTCTTCATTCCTTACTGGACAGCACACATTGTAGTTTAATTAAGTAGACGTTACTGTGTCTCTTTTGTTGTGTGGATGTGGTGCTGGAATAGAAGTTAAGCAGCGAAGGAAGAATGTGGCGCCGTAGGAATAATGTGTCAGGAATCTGGAGTGGGCCAGTCATCTTAGTGTCTGTATCTATCCTATAATCTGTCCTATGATCGTTTGGGAGTTTTAGCCAGTTGAAATGGCAAGAGCAAGTAATTAGATTGATCTCTGTGAATTCCTTGGGGAAGAACTGAGATACGGGTCATTGCCGTGGGAGCTGAGTGGACTTGGAATCCACTTGGATTGAGGCTGGATGGCTGAGGCTGTTTTCAGAAGTGTGATCTGAAATGTGGGTCTTGCCTGATGTGGTAGTCTCACTTGGCATGGAGATTCTAAGCAGCTTGCTTGTTTGTGTCCCTCCCTCTGTCCCTCCCTCTGTTCCTCCGTCCTTTCCTCCCCACTTTCATTTGATATAGGGTATCATGTAACCCAGGCTGGCCTTGAACTTTCTGTGTTGCTGAAAGTTTCTGTGCCCCCCTCCTCCAGTTCTCAGTGCTGAGATTGCAGCTGGTACCAGGGATCAGACCCTAGGCAGGCGTCTTAGCAATCAAGCCACATCCCCAGACCCCTTACTGGTGTCTTAAAGCAATTATACAACAGGAAATTGTGTAGAATGGTTAGAGTCTGATGTTTGTTTCTTCACTGGATTCCCTGAAGATCAGTTAGTTGGCCATAAACTAACTGCTGAAACTATGTGTAGGTTAATTCTGTGGTCAGATTATCCAGAACCCTGTGCTATAGCTGAAAATGCTTTGTTGCCTTTGTATCAAAGGACCCTGTTACCATCTCCTGTCATGACCTCATCCACAATGTTGATTGTCTCCAAGTGGAGTAATATGTGTCTAAGTTACAGGAAAGTGCCAGCGACTCCTAGAACCTTTGAAACTACCAAATGCTGTGCCACACTCTCATTCACATCCTGGTTCTTTGTCTTTCTTATCCCAGGCTTTCTTGATCATGGATGGTGAAGATATACCGGATTTTTCAAGTTTAAAGGAAGAAACTGCTTATTGGAAGGAACTGTCCTTAAAGTATAAGCAGAGGTAATGTTTGAAGACATTAAAATAGGGGTGGGATTTGGAACATACTGTATAGCTTATCCATGTCTTTCCTTTGGAGCATAAGGCTGAATACAGAGTTTCAGATTTAGGGTTGTGATTCCGTAGTAAAACAGTGTTTCTATTTAAATACTATAAAACTACCACCAACCTTTATATTGTTCAACTTGAAATATCAGGAAGCTTTAGTGCCACCTATGATTCCTGATTGCTTGCCTCCTCTGGCTTGTGACTAGCTGGGCTGTCTTTGGCCTTCTGTGTGTGCACTGGTGCTCCCTCATCATTTGCTCACTTGAGGTGCTTAAAACAGACTTTAGTGATTTTAGGTGTGCATTATTAGTGTTGGGAGGCAGCTGAGCTTCTAAGCTATGGAGTATTTTAGAAAATTTATTATTTTACTTGGGAAGAAAATAACTTTTTGGCCTCAATGAATCTTTTTTTTTTTTTTTTTTTAAATTTTTTTTTTTATTTTATTTATTATATGTAAGTACACTGTAGCTGTCTTCAGACACCCCACAAGAGGGCATCAGATATCATTACAGATGGTTGTTAGCCACCATGTGGTTGCTGGGATTTGAACTCATGACCTCTGGAAGAGCAGTCAGTGCTCTTAACCACTGAGCCATCTCACCAGCCCCGGCCTCAATGAATCTTAATGAATCTTTTTTCTTATACTTTTTTTTTTGGATTTGTTTTTATCTTATGTGTATGGGAGTTTAGCCTGCATGTATGTCTGTGTACCTTGTGAGTGCCTGATGACCATACAGACCAGAAGAAGGCATAAGATCCCCTGACACTGGAGTTAAAGATGGTTGTGAGCTGCCGTATGGTTGTTGGGAATTGAACCCTGGTCCTCCTGAAGAGTAGCAAGTAACCACCAAGCCCTCTCTCCAGCCTTGAAATCTTACTAAGATACTTAGACACTTTTGTCCTTTGGTTGACAGAGTTAACTAGGTCTTATAAAATCTCATCATTCTTGTCCTGTGGCTGTATCAGGCCAGGGCATGCAGAAATTCTGTGTTCAGCAGAAGTTCTTCATTTCTTCTGATGTTACAGATTCCTCCAGAGGCTGGGAACTCTGTGAACCCCTTAATAGTTTAAATGCAGAAAATTAAGTAATGGAATTATAGAGGAAATCAGTTATTTCAAAAAAATTGTCTAAATTCTAAGCTAGTTTGTGATGTTATAGTAATGTTTTAATGCATTATGTAAAAAAGATGGAGAAACATAGTAACTCCCTGATTCTGAATTAGTGTTGAGTGAGTGATGCTTAGCTCTGTACCAGCTGTTGTGATTTTAGAGTATCTGTTGATTTCTGATTGGAATTGAAAAATAATGCTCAATTTAGATTACTTCAGTACAAATACACAGTCTTTTTCTTTGAGTTTTATGGAGGAAGAAGCTAATGGTTTTGAGCCATGTAGAACAATTTTTTGTAAATATTGTAATTACCGATTTGTATTTTGGGGGAAGCTTATAACTGATTTTCACTGAATCTCTCATATATGTGGAACAAGAAATATAAAACACTTTCTTTACTGTTTAATGTTTCACGAGAATGTTAATTTTCAGCCAGAAATTTCTGTATTGCTATGTAATTATATGAGAGGACTCAACTATTAACTTGTTTTTCTCACTTTGCTTTTGCTCAGCTTCCAGGAAGCTCGGGATGAGCTAGTTGAGTTCCAGGAAGGAAGCAGAGAATTAGAAGCAGAGTTGGAGGCACAGTTAGTACAGGCTGAACAAAGAAATAGAGACCTGCAGGCTGATAACCAAAGACTGAAATACGAAGTGGAGGCACTAAAGGTAACTGTAGAAGTCCCTTCCCTGAGTCCAGTGCTGTCCAGGTATTAAAGTGGGAAGTGTAGGGCCAGCGAGGTGGCTTCATGGGGAAGGCGCTAAGGCCACTAAGCCTTAGAACCCGAGTTTGATTTCTGTGCCCCACATGGTGTAGGAAGAGAACTTTTTTCCTTAGTTGTTTTCTGATCTCCACACATATGCTTTAGCATGAGCATACATATGCAGTACTTGAAATAGAGAAATATTTTACAAATGAGAAATGTATTAACCAAGTAGTACTTAAAAAATTCAAGCACCCTCCCAAAAAGTATATGATATATATAGACATACGTATATACGTATAGCACATATATGATATATATGTCATATATAGGTATGTAACATTTTAAAAAATATATATATGAGTACACTGTAGCTGTCTTCAGACACACCAGAAGAGGGTATCATTACAGATCCCATTACAGATGGTTGTGAGCAACTGTGTGGTTGCTGGGATTTGAACTCAGGACCTCTAGAAGAGTAGTAGCCAGTGCTCATAACTGCTGAACCATCTCTCTAGCTTCCTATTTTAAAAGTTTGATAGATTTATTTTTTTAATAGAGTCAAGAGATGGCTCAGAGTTGAGGACTTCTCATAGGAAGTCAGTTTTCTGCCTGTCCTTCACTGCATTTTAGTTCTGGTGTTTTCTAAAGCTTCTGATTATTTGTTTGGACAAATTGCTTGCCTTATTGTGTACTGCCTTAAAATTATATTTACACGACACATGCATTGTGTCTCTGTGGCTATGCCATGTGAGTTCATTACTCACGGAGCCTAGAAAAGAACATTGGGCCTCTCGGAGCTGGAGTTCCAGGTGGTCGTGAACCACTCTACATGAGAGTAGGGAATCAGACTTGGGCTTTGCAAGAACATCACTTCTCTTAATTTCAGAGTCATCTCTCTAGCCCCTAGGTTTATATTTTGAAGAAAGGATTTTATTATTTTTCAGAAAGATCATTTTTTTTTTCCTGAGAGAGAATTGTTACTATATTCATTTTACATGAATTAAGGCAGTTAGAGTGGTTTTGTCTGTGTCGTTTAAGGATGGGGTGCTATCAACTCAGATTGTGGTGAAGTCTTCTGACCTTTTTTCCCTCCTTTAATTTGGGAAATTCCTTTATTAGTAGATAATTACATATTAATCATACAACCTTCTCTGCACCTCTGCTTTCAGGAGAAACTGGAGCACCAGTATGCACAGAGCTACAAGCAGGTCTCAGTGTTAGAAGACGATTTAAGTCAGACCCGGGCCATTAAGGAGCAACTGCATAAGTACGTGAGGGAGCTGGAGCAGGCCAACGACGACCTGGAGCGAGCAAAGAGGTAAGGGTGCTGCGCGCTCTGAGCACAACCAGTTGTCAGCTCAAGCGTCCCGGTTCTCCTTCAGTGTTGTTTCTCTTTCAGTGTCGTGTGTCCTTTGTGATCATTTACACAATGTGATAAATTTAAAGGAAACGAAACAAAACCACACAGACCAGGCTTGGTATAGCACACACCTTGAATCCCAGTGCACGGGAGACTGAGGCACGTGGATCTCGAATGCCTCCAGAGTATCTCTGTTAGTTTTCCTTAACCACTGTAACGAACTCATACTACTTTATAATTATTGCCTAGTAGTTTTCTTTTGTACTTATCAGTTGACTGACTCTTGATTGACATGATTCTAGTCACTGTCCTTGTAGCTGATCCATCAGAGGACTTGCTATGATAAATGCTCTGGTAAGAAGAATGTATAGGCTGCTCCAGGGCAGCTCTAGTGCCTATGGGAGCTGGGGAAGCCTTTTTACAAGTTGGGGCAGAGTCTGCAAAGAAGCAAAGTTAACTAGGCAGAGACACAGTGAAGAGGCGGAGAGACAAGAAGATGTTTGAAGTCTTTTATTAATAGGTTATTTTAGGGCTTGAGAAACTGCTCAGCAAAAAGTACTGACTGCTCTTCCAGAGGTCCTGAGTTCAATTCCCAGCAACCACATGGTGGCTCACAACCATCTGTAATAGGATCCGATGCCCTCTTCTGGTGTGTCTGAAGACAGCAACAGTGTACTCATACATAAAATCTACCGATCAGTCTTAAAAAAAAGAGTGGAATTGATATTCTGAGTTGTAACTTTAGGTTGGAGAATTTTATTTCTGTAGCAGATAGTGGGGAACGGGATCCCCCACAAGAGTAGGTATGTGTTAATTTTTGCTGAGTGGAGTGAGATCATTCTCCAAATTGGGTCAGGTTGACTCAGTTAAGAATGACAGGAGATAAACTGATTGCTTGCTTTTGTACTGGCTGTTTGTGCTGTTTAATTCATGGGCTTCAAATAACTTTTTTTTTTAAAGGGCAACAATAGTTTCACTGGAAGACTTTGAACAAAGGCTAAATCAGGCCATTGAACGAAATGCATTTTTAGAAAGTGAACTTGATGAAAAGGAATCTTTGTTGGTCTCAGTACAGAGGTTAAAGGATGAAGCAAGAGGTAAGCTTTATAACTTGGCAAGTGTTTATCCATTGCCTGTCCCTGAGTAAGCATAAGGACTAACCCTTTTGATGGTGTTAGGAGTCACACCAGGGTCTTGAGCATGCTGGGTAAGCACTCTGCTTCTGAGCTCTAGTTTCTCTGAAGCTCTAGTTTTATATGCCTTTACATACCTTTGAATCACTGTGCTAAGTGCTTTTAACCTGGTAATTTATTTCATACTCATCAGTGCTGAGAAGTAGGTATGACCTCTGTATTCTAGATGAAAAAAGAGGCACAGGGAGTTTGAGTTTTTCCAGTTTGAGCTTTTTCTATCTCTCTTGACCCTGCCCTCAGAAGAGTTTTCTTTATTGATTGTATTCATGTTATTTACATAGAACCGTGTGTGTGTGTGTGTGTGTGTGTGTGTGTGTGTGTGTGCGTGCGCGTGTATATGTTGCTGTTTACATATTATACATGTAACCAACACACCCTTCCTTCCTTCCTTCCTTCCTTCCTTCCTTCCTTCCTTCCTTCCTTTCTTTTTTTTGGTTTTTCGAGACAGGGTTTCTCTGTGTAGCTCTGGCTGTCCTGGAACTCACTCTGTAGACCAGGCTGGCCTCGAACTCAGAAATCCACCTGCCTCTGCCTCCCAAGTGCTAGGATTAAAGGCGTGCGCCACTACTGCCCGGTGTTCAACACACACTTTCTTTAAAACTTATTTCTCCTCATAAACACAATAAAATTGAGAATATTATAAAGAAGGAAAGCCCACTAACAGTGTGACATAGTTTACTTTCTTATGATTATCTGAATATTTTCCCTCATATAATTCTTAACTTTCCTATGAGCAGACAAAAATGGACACATTTCTCTTTTTTTTTTTTCCTGCTTAATATAGGGAATATACATGGCATCACAATTCTTTTTTTAATAAGTTTATTTTGTATACAGTGTTCTATCTAGCTGCATGTGTACCTGTAGGCCAGAAGAGGGCACCAGACCTCATTATAGATGGTTATGAGCCACTATGTGGTTGCTGGGAATTGAACTCAGGACCTTTGGAAGATCAGCCAGTGCTCTTAATCTCTGAGCCATCTCTACAGCCCTGGTATGGCAAATTTTTAAAGCAGGCTTTGGGTCTGGAGAGGTGATGGCTCAGCAGTGAGGAGTGTGTACTGCCCCTGCTCTTGTTTCCTCTATAATACTCGGAATCTCAGTGTGCTAAGGAGGAGAAAGTGTGTTTAACTATATGTCATCTTTTATAGATTTTCAATGCCTTTTTATTTTCTTTTTTCTGATGTATTTATCTGAAGTTTTTTTTTTTTAAGTTAGAGTTTTTAAAAGATTTGTTTTATGTGTAAGGGTGTTTTGGCTGCATGCATGTGTAGCACTTGCATGCTTGGTGCTCTCGGGAGCTAGAAGAGGGCATCAGATTCCTGGAACTGGAGTCACAGATAGTTGTGAGCTACCATGTGGGTGCTGGGAATCAAACCCCCCTAGTCTTTTGGAAGAGCATTGAGTGCTGAGCTACCTCTCTCGCCCCTGAAGAATTGTTTTAAATTTTGTAATACAGAAAGTATTAACTTGGTATTGTTTGTTTATAGATTTTGCTTTACAGTGGTAGGAGTGAACACAGGGCCTTGTGCATGACAGGCAAGCCTTGTCTACATAGAGAGGTCCATTATACTGAGATGGTTTTTAAACTTTTATTATTATTTATGTGATTGGTTGGTTTAACTTTAGTGTCCTCAAGGTTTGTTTATGTTGTTATGACCGGATTTTTTTTATTTAAAAAAATTTTTTTTAACTATTTTTGTGTGTGTATATGTCCTGGATCTCTCTATGTAGACAAGGCTGCCTTTGAACTCTCAGAGATCTGCCTCTTTATATCCTTTTCCTTTTAACATAAGATATTTTTCAAGGTAGTTATAGAATTGGAAACATTAAAAATTCAGTATTGAAAAAGTATTTCGCCGGGCGGTGGTGGCGCATGCTTTTAATCCCAGCACTTGGGAGGCAGAGACAGGCGGATTTCTGAGTTCGAGGCCAGCCTGGTCTACTGAGTGAGTTCCAGGACAGCCAGGGCTACACAGAGAAACCCTGTCTAGAAAAACCAAAAAAAAAAAAAAAGGAAAAGAAAAGAAAAAAAAAAAGAAAAAGTATTTCATAGTGGTAGTTTTAAAAAAAAACAACTGAGGTGTGGTAGTGCCTGCCTTTAATTCTGGTGCTCTGGAAGCAATGACCGGCCAGCCTCATCTACATAGGGAGGTCATAGCATTTTAAAATTATTTTTTTAAAATTATACTTACTTTGTGTGTGTGTGTGTCGCCCACACTTGTGTGCGCCAGCCACTGTACAGATATTGAAGTCAGAGGACACCTTGTAGGGGTTGTTGGTTCTCTCAGTCTCCCACACCCATCTCAGGGATGGAACCCGGGTTGTCAGGCTTGGTAACAAGTGCCTTAACTACTAAGCCATCTCGCTACCCCATATTTTTAAGTTCTAAGGGAGTTCAGATTTTTGTTCCAGGGATAAAAAATTTTATAGATAGGAAGCTTGCTTTGAGAAATAGTAACTTAGGAGGAGTGTCTTTATGATATTTTGGTTGAGACTTACAGGATATATTTGCTCCCTGTAATGAGGATTTCTGCTTTTGTTTGCAACATTTTTCAGATTTAAGGCAAGAGCTAGCAGTTCGGGAACGACAGCAGGAAGTGACCCGAAAGTCTGCTCCCAGCTCTCCAACTCTGGACTGTGAGAAGATGGATTCTGCTGTCCAAGCTTCGCTCTCCTTGCCTGCAACGCCTGTTGGGAAAGGCACAGAAAACAGTTTTCCTTCACCAAAAGGTCTGTGTTTTCTCTCTAAGGCCACGTTAGACGATCAGTTTTGAATGCATTTGCCGGTGTAGCAGAGCTGCTGCAGTTGAAGCATGAATGGAGTGTACAAGTTACTTTAGTTCCAGGAAGCAAAGGAAGACTTGTTTTCTGGGTCACTGATAATGTAGCAATGAGATGATGTCTGCACTCAATACAAGAGCAGTTAAAAAGTTTTAAATTTTTAAAAAGTTAAAAATTAGTTATTTATGTGTTTTCTAAGACAGGGTTTCTCTGAGTAGTTCTAGCTGTCACTCTGGAGCTCACTCTGTAGACCAGGCTGGCTTCGAACTCAGAAATATGCCTGTCTCTGCTTCTTGAGTGCTGGGAGTGTGCCACCATGCCCAGCAAGTTAAAAAGTTTTTAAATTTTAAAATTTATTTTTAAGAGCTTATTTTGGTTATCATAAAGATATATGTTCATGCAGATTTATGTCTGTCTGTCTGTCTATCTATTTATTTTGTCTTTTTTGGGCCTGGGTATTGGACCCAGAGCTCTGTGTGTGCTTGGCAAAAGGCACTGACACTGATCTATATTATATTCTCAGTTCTATGTAGAAAGTCTGAAAGTACAAAGTCTTACAGAAGTTTTTTTCTTTTTCTTTTCTTTTTCTTTCCAAGACAGGGTTTCTCTGTGTATTTCTGGCTATCCTGGAACTCACTCTGTAGACCAGGCTGGCCTCAAACTCAGAAATCCGCCTGCCTCTGCCTCCCAAGTGCTGGGATTAAAGGCGTGCGCCACCACCGCCTGGCCCAGAAGTTTTTTTTTTTCTCCGAGTTATTCCTTACACATTTCTTTGCTACCGTACATTGGTGTTTAGTTTTAAGACACAGTCTCACCAGGCCTAGGCTGACCTAAAGATGACCTTGGATTAATTCTGATCTTCGAGCCTCTCCCTCCCAGGTTCTGGGATTATAGGCATGTGCCATCATACCCAGTCTCTCCTGTTAAGTTTTTTGATCCTACCTAAATAATTATTTCTTGCTTTTGCCATTTCATATGTCATAGAAAAACAGGCTTTCAGCTGGGCAGTGGTGGTGCACACCTTTAATCCCAGCACTTGGGAGGCAGAGGCAGGCAGATTTCTGAGTTCGAGGCCAGCCTGGTCTACAGAGTGAGTTCCAGGACAGCCAGGGCTATACAGAGAAACCCTGTCTCGAAAAACAAACAAAAAAAACAAAAAACAAAAAAAAAACAAAAAAAAAAAAAAGAAGAAGAAAAAGAAAAACAGGCTTTCTACACAGATATGAGGAGAACTTAGAGTTGCTCTTTAGACTGATGTAAGGTTGGCTCAGATAGAACATTCTATCTGATGGGGCTTGAACTGCCCACAAAGGTAACATTCAGGGGAACTGATAAGATTCATCCTGTTGTCAGTGTGTTTGTTGAATGGACATAAGGACGTAAAGCATTCTGTAGTTAGTCTTAGAGCCTCTCAGTGCCATCCCAGAGCTTTCCAGTTCCAGCTTGTTTAGGTAGTCTGCAGTTCATAGCCCATCTTCACTGCTCCGCCATGTCTTCCTGCCCATCTTAAACTACATTTTATCCTCTAGGGTGAGAGGAGGTTCTCTGGGCAATTAGGACAGCATTTGCTGCTCTAGTAGCCGGAAGTGGTTGTTAAACTTTATACTCATTTCAGTGAATGATGAAATTCAATTTCCTTTGTCAGTCACATTTCATTATTGAGAATATTATGCTGATTACTGGTTTGGCACAGAATTTCTTTTATACATACGTGTGTGTTTGTTTTTAGATTTGTTTCATGTATGTGAGTACATTGTAGTTTTCTTCAGACACACCAGCACAGGGCATAAGATTCAATTACAGATGGTTGTGAGTCACCATGTTGTTGGGAATTGAACTCAGGACTTCTGGAAGTGCTCTTAACGACTGAGCCGTCTCTCTAGCCCCTCAGCACAGTATTTCTCTTCTCTTCTCTTCTCTTCGTCTTGCCTCTCCTTTTTTTTTCTTGAGATATGGTTTCACTCTGTAGCCCTGCCTACCCTGGTACTTGTGCATGTGTGCGCTGTCTCCCTCTCCCTCTCCTTCTCCCTCTCCCTCCCTCCCTCTCTCCCTCCCCCTATACTCATATACACACACCAGGCTGGCCTCAACCTCACAGAGCTCCCTGCGTATACTGTACCCATGTACTGTACCTATATACTATATACTATATATACTATATACTATACCCAGTTTGCCATATTGTTTTATTTTTTTCAATTGCAAGTTTTTTTTGTTTTGTTTTGTTTTTTGTTTTTCGATACAGGGTTTCTCTGTATATCCCTGGCTGTCCTGGAACTCACTCTGTAGACCAGGCTGGCCTCAAACTCAGAAATCCGCCTGCCTCTGCCTCCCAAATGCTGGGATTAAAGGCATGCACCACCACCGCCCGGCACAAGTAATTTTTTATACAATATTCTGATCATGTTTTTCCTTCCTCATCTCCTCCCAGACCCTCCCCACATCCCCACCCTTCCAACTCTACATGTTCTTTTTCTCTGTCTTAGGAAAACAGGGAAATTCAAACAAACAAGAATAAAACAAAACTAATGAACTAGCAAGAAAAACAAAAAGAACATGAGAAATACATTTGTAGACACACACCCCTGTGATGCGCCGCCTCGCCGATAAGGAGAACACGCCACACTTCAGGATTCTCCTGACACGCAGTTTACTTGTTACAGCTCTTTTAGATGGTGTTACAGCTCTCTTAGATGGTAGTGTTACAGCTCTCTTGGATGGTAGTGGTGAAGGACCCAGAGCCCCAGAACCCATGGGCTTATATAGAGTCCTGGGAGCACTTACTGCATGCTCATTGGCTCCTTAATGATGCCTAATTAGCATACTAGTTTCTCATTGGCTCTTAGAGTGCTCTTGGAGTATGGCTTAATTAGCATAGTAATTCTTTGCGCATGCGCATATTCGGCTTGGCTCTGACTGAAGCTAGAGCGCGGGAAGCCGGCGTGCCCTGCGCATGCGCGCTCCCATTCATGGCTCTGTCAGAGCCGAGAAGCAGGGAGCCAGAGCGCCTTACTCTGGCGCACTTTACCTCACGGCTCCCTGACTGAGCCGTGCCATTGAGTGCGGCTCCCTCACAGAGCCGCACCTTTGAATGCGGCTTCTTGACGGAGCCGCGCCATTGACAATTGGCGTATGCGGCTCCCACACGGAGCCGCGCCATTAATGGCGTACGCGGCTCCCAACACACCCCATAAAAATACAAAACTGAAAATGGTAATGTACAAGCAAAAGAAGGAAATAAAGCAATATGAAACCAAAAAAAAAAAAAAGGTCTAAGAATACCTTTGGATTGGTTTGTGTTGGTCATCTGCCACTGCAGGATGTAGGGCCTACCTGTAAGTGTGGTGTATCGACCCTGTGAGATGCCCTTGGAGACTAATTTTTCGTTTGTGGATGGTTGTCAGTTGTTGATAGCTCCTTGGTTAGAAATGGGGCTCATGTCTACTTCCCCATCTCAGCACTGGGGTCCTGGCTGTTTTGGACCTGTGTAGGCACTGTGCATGCTGCCAGAGTCTCTGTGAGTCGTCGTCTGTGGCACGATGTTCTTATGGAGCATCCTTATAGCATCTGTTAGGGTAACAGTGGGCAGCCCTCTGCCCTGACAGTTCTGTTCTCAGGATCTCCAGAAACACCTGTTGAGATGTTTAAGGATCTTTGTCCTTGCAGCAGTTTGGAGACATGACACACTGATGTAGTCTGGTGGTTAAACTTCTTTATAATGCTTCTCTTCATACTTTGTCCATATAGTATGATATTGCTTCAAATGTGTTTTGCTTTGTAACATCATTATCAATATAGTCTAAATATAAAGGGAGCTGGTGATGTGATTACTCTGCTTTTCTCTTTCTGTAGCTATACCAAATGGCTTTGGAACCAGTCCTCTAACTCCTTCTGCTAGGATATCAGCACTAAACATCGTGGGAGATCTCTTGCGGAAAGTAGGGGTAAGCATTCACTAGGTGTTTCCACTGTGGAGGTAGTATTGAACTCTCTTTCCTGTGGTGAGAACCATATGAAGCTGAGAAGCACTGCATGCACTGATGAGCAAACCCCCAGCCCTGGGCCTAAGGCACTTAGAGCCTGGGCTTCGGGTTACCTATGTAATTCTTCCCATTGCTGTCTTGTCTACAGTGCAGCACCTCTGACACTGGTTGTTTTCTTTATCAGTTTTTAAGATTTATGTATTTTATAATTTTATGTGTATGAGTTGGATGTATGTCTGTGCACCGTGTGTGTGTGTGTGTGTGTGTGTGTGTGTGTGTGTGTGTGTGGTCTGCTGAGGTCAGAGAGGATGTTGGATCCCTTGGGGCTGGAGTTTCAGATGATTATGATGTGCTGTGTGGCTGCTGGGGATCAAACCCCAGTCAGCTGCAAGAGCAGCAAGTGCTCTAACCTCTGAGCTAGCTCTCCAATTCTGGCTTTTCTTTCTGTCTATCTTTTTTTTTTTTTCTCTCCGAGTTTCTCTGTGTAATCTGGGCTGTCCTGAAACTCACTCTGTAGACCAGGCTGGCCTTGAACTCAGAAATCGCCTGCCTCTGCCTCCCTCCCAAGTGCTGGGATTAAAGGTGTGCACCACCACAGCCCAGCTGCCCAAGGCTATTCTTTATCTCTGTTTTACCATCACCTTTGTGGGCCTTTGACTTCGTATGTACTGTAGACATTCTGGCCTGCTCTCCAATCCTGATCCAGCTTCTAAGAGTCCTTGGTGATGTCAGTGTGGTCAAACCCAATGTGTGTACTGCTCTGAATTTTATTTGAAGCATTCAGTGCCAGTGTGTCCCCACCCTCCTCAGAATGTCCTCTTTTCTTGGTGTCCCTGATGCTTTCTCTTGATGGTCCCTACCCTGCTGCCCATTTCTCTTTCTCTTTCCTTTGTCCTTTCTTTCAGTGATAGTCTTAGTGTTTACAGTCATGGTTTCATCTACCACTGGATGTCAAGTTTCTAAATCTTAATCTTGAGACCATTTTTTTTCCCCTCCGGAAAGACCTCGGGCTTGTACCACCCGTGTGTACATAACTCTTTACCTGCCATGTGACAGGTGCTCAACAGATGCTTACATGGATGCACAAGTCACTTTAGTGAATATAGGAAATTAAAGGTTTCAGTATGAATTTATGTACAAGTCAGAGCATCCTAGAGGGTAATTATTTCTGTCATTGTTTAACTAGCCCATTGTACTTTTACCATAAAAAAGAGGCAGGAGAAAAAGAAATTTAAGTTTGTTTTTGGTTCTGTTTCATATGTTTTTATTGAGATGATGGGGTAGGACGTCCATATGATTCTGAAAGTGTATTTTTCTGTGGATTTCTAATCCTTTGGTCTTGTAAATTGGAATGGACTGTATTCTTTTATTCACCATGGCATATGTTTTTCCTTTTTTGGGAGCTAGTGGAAAGATACTTATTTGGGAGAAATTTTGTTGGGAAAGAGGGATTCCATGATACCCAAGTGTGGAGAGATGCGAATTTCCTGTTCTTTCCCATCAGCTGTTTTCACGTGACAGGTGCTGTAACAGGTGTAAAGGAAAGATAACAAGACTTAGAGGTAAACGATAAAGGGGCAGTATCACTTGCAGGTGAATTAATTATAGACAAAAGGTATCAAGTATACAGTTTATAGTATACTATCACAAAGAAAGTGGATCACTTTATGTGAGGTTGAAACGGATCTGTTCTAATGCAGTGGAACATTTTATACATGGGAGAGCCTAATGAAAGAGTGGATGGCCTTAGAACACCTGGAGGAGATGATTATTTGTAGTGCTTGCTGCACAAGCGCCAAGTCCTAGTCTCAACCAATATTGTAGACCTTAACAAGCAGTGGATGGAGTTGGAAGGTCTGGAGTCTTTACTCACCACTGGCACCATGGTTTTCTTAGGTGTGGATTATATGTACACCTCAGTGATACTGAGAGGAAAAAGTTAAATTTCTGAGCTCATTAAAAAGAGGGTCCGTGTAAATGTTCCTTGTTCTACTAGGAAGACTCTTCACTAGTGGCCATTATCCTGGATGCTGAAGCCTGGAATAGAGATGGTTTGAGATGCAGATATTTTCTGTACAGCCACTGTTTTGACAGCCATTCCTTCTTCTTTGTAGGCTTTAGAATCCAAGCTAGCAGCTTGCAGGAACTTTGCAAAAGACCAAGCATCCCGCAAATCCTATGTTCCAGGGAGCGTTAACTGTGGGGTAATGAACAGCAACGGCCCAGAGTGCCCAAGGTCAGGGCGAGCAACTTTCTTCCATAAAGGGTAAGTCTTTGACCTTTTTTTTTTTTTTTTTTTTTTGGCAGTCTTAGGGCCAGAAAAAACCTAGGGCTTCATATGTGCCAGACAGTAATCCTGTCACTGAGCTATAGCTTCAATCCTAGGACTCACTGAGGAGTTTCAGTAAGTTTACAGAGTTGTAAGTGAGGTTACCAGAGTCTTGAAGGTCACATACACTGATAAGTTTTCCTGGTTTTCTTATTCAAGTCTCAGAGGACAGAGATCTGTTATTGTCTTCTGGTTCCCAAGGAGTTTGCTGTCCCTGGAATCCACAGCTTCTGTCCTGGGCATAGACTCTTAAAGGCAACTGTGCTGGGTTCAGGAGAATCTGCAGAGCTCCTGTGGGCCTGCTCTCCAGATCCTTGTAGCTTGGGAGACTCAGCAAATCTCCTTTAAGGGAAGGGGAGATTGTTTGTACATAGACTGTGTGGCAGAGCTTTTATTTGAAGATTTTAGAAAAATGCAAAGTTCTAAAATATTTAAACACTGGGTCATATACAAGTGAGAGTTCAAGGCCAGCTTGGTACTTAGTGTGTTTCCAACTAGCTAGAGCTTTATTGTGAGACTGACTTTAAAAAAAAAGTTTGTGTTTGTGTGTGTGCGTGTGCATACACTTATATTAAAAAAAAGCTTTAAGTTTAAAGCAGTGGTATGTTAAAACATTTCAGTTGGTGTAGAATATGTGTAGTAAGAAGTAGGCTTCCTATTTCCACACTATTGTGATCATTCCTTAGAGTTAATTTTCAGGCATGTAAAAATCAGATTTTTAGCTGGGTGGTGGTGGCGCACGTGTTTAATCCCAGCACTTGGGAAGCAGAGGCAGGCGGATTTCTGAGTTCGAGAGTTCGAGGCTAGCCTGGTCTACAGAGTGAGTTCCAGGACAGCCAGAGCTACACAGAGAAACCCTGTCTCAAAAAACAAACAAAAAAAAAATCAGATTTTTATGCATCTGTTGTAAGCTTCTTACAGCACATCTACAAGAGTACAGCTTAAATATTGCTCAGTTTTGATTTACATTGCCAGTATCTTTCCACATCAGTCCATTTCATCCTGCCTTATTTTGTTTTTGTTTTTTTTAAAAAAGATTTTATTTATTTTATATATGTGAGTACACTGTTGCTGTCTTCAGACACACCAGAAGAGGACATCAGATCCCATCACAGATGGTTGTGAGCCACCATGTGGTTGCTGGGAATTGAACTCAGATAGTGCTCTTAACCACCGAGCTGTCTCTCCAGCCCTTGTTTTCTCTCTAATATGCATATCTATCTTGTTATAGACATGACTTAATATAGGGAACTAATTAGGACCTGTAATCTGTCTGCTGGTCACGTTACCGTAGGCAGTTGTTTCTGGAACAGCAGCTGCCGTGCTCATGATCCCTTGCCTTTGTCTCTTCTGAGTGGAATAGGCAGCTTTAACAGCAAAACAGAACAAAGCAGGAACAGCTCTAGAAAGCATCACAGTATTTTTAAAGGTGCTTATATTCCTGATGTGCTTAATAGTTACAGCTTGTTTACAGGCAACCCAATTGTTAGATACAATGTGCTCTCTCTTTGCTGTTATTTTTGGCTTTTGAGACAGATTCTCACTATAAAGCCCTAGACCAGGCTAGTCTTGAACCCACAGAGATCTACCTCCTCTGAGTGCTGGAGTGAAAGGCATGCACTACCAAGCCCAGCTACAGTCTACTGTGGAAAACGAGTTTTAAGGCCAGGCATAGTGATGCATGCTTTTAATTCCAAGCACTGGGAAGGCAGAGGTAGGTTGATCTCTGAGTTCAAGACTGGACTACAAAGTGAGTCTAGCAGAGCCAGGGCTACACAGAGAAGTGAGAAACCCTGTCTCAGATAAACAAAAATCAAACCAAAACAAAAAAGAATTGTTCATCCTGTAGTGGAGAATTGTGGCCTATTTCTGTTTCTCATGACACTTCTGTCTTAAAAAGGATACAACAAGGACCTCCTACTAAAAGCACATTGTAAAATACCAGTTTGTAAGTCAGAACTCTGTTCTAACTCTTAAGGGTTTTCAGGTAGACTAAGTAGAAAATTCACTTTCATCAGGCTAGGGAGTGCATGGATCCATGTCCTCATTAGACTAGCCATTCCTCAAATGGTACAGAGGAAGTACAAAGGAAGTCTTCAAGAGTGTTGGAAGCTTGTGATTCTTCCTCAGTGTCTCTGCCTCTGGAATCATGTTTCTTGTGGGCTGTGGGCGGCATCTTAGTGTGAGAGGAGGCAGGAACCAGGGCTGAGTTGGTTAGGCAGGGCCTTTGTGTGGAGAGTGCTTGGAGACGGTCATAGTGAGGGAAGAGTCAATTGTCATTCAAGTCACTGCTCTTCTCTTGCACTTCCCTCCCATTCCCAGCTTGCCAGGGCAGGCATTGCTCAGAGAGAGGACCTGCCCCAAGACGTGGAACAGCAGTGTGAGCTGAAAGGAGTGACCTGGAACTCTGCCGAACTCTTGCCCCAGTAGCAGCTAGATGCAGGTCTCCCCCGTCTCCTAAGCTGCACCACGGGAAAGGGCAGAGCAGTATTTTTTCCTGACAGAACCACTTTTAGTTACTATTTGTGTTTCGTTCTAAATTATGAAAATTTTATGTTATACTGTTTCAACCAAGAGTGAAATATGCTTTTATGGATTGGCTCTTGATACAGTGTTCACTTTATCTAACAAGTAGATTTCGGATACACACTGCTGTGTTAACCTGCAGTTGCTTGAGGGATCGCCGTGTCCTCACTGTGCTCTGGAGGTCGCTTTCCCATGGTTTGCCATGTGACCACATCCTTGCTGCTTGGCTTTCATTCCACCCACCTTGTGGTCTGCCTGGCTTCTTCATCTCTGTCTCCTGTGTTGACTAGATAGTTCCCAGATACATTAAGCCAATCTTTGTAGAAATAGGAAGTGTGGCTTAGCATTTTAGCATGTGAAACGCCCATCTTAAAACCGTGGCTGTGGCTGTGGTCCTGGTCTTGCTTGCCCTTTGCTCCTTCCACGTATGTCTGTGGCCCCATCACAGTAGCTGACTAGTGGGACTGGAGACTCACGGGTAGGTTTCTTGGAAGGTTGTGAGCATGTGTATTTCATATTGCTCACAGCCTTCACAGGGCAGTGCAGTCCTTGACAGGTAAAACTGCACACACCTCACTGGGCCTGTGGCCTTATATGAGTCACAAGTATTTTTGCAGATTCTGATTATCTGAGGACTTCTTAGAACTAGGAGTTTGTCTTCTGGGGTTTTCTACCAGCCCCCAGATGCAGGCTGCTGTGCCTTGTCGCCCGAGCCGCTCCACCACCGATCCTCTTATATTCTTGTCTCGAGGATGCAGCTTGCGCGTCACTTGAATTTGCTCTAAAACATTTTATTTTCCTCCATTAAATTTAATTTGGTTTTATTTGTGTTACTTGCACATGGTGCAGATTGTAAGCAAACCAGTCAAGTTTCTCTGGGTCATATGTCAGTAGGTGGGGGTTCATTTCAGGACAGGATGTGTAAAGTGTTTGTATTGCTGTTTAATGATTTTTCCTTTTTCTTATTAGGCAAGAAAAAGTCATATTTCCTACGTTGTTCATGGGTAACTCAATTTGTTTGCTGTGCTTTCTTCTCTGTCTTAATCATGCTGTGTGGTGGAAGACACATTAACAAATTGGTTTTACTAACTGCATGGGGGTGGACTCAGCTTTAGCCAACTTTTAGCCCATGAGTGAGCTTTCAGAATCCTGTTTGACTTGATTAACCGTTGCTGTGGCTTGATCACACAGGTTGTTGCTGCTGTGCAGGACAGTAGCCCATCAGGAGTTGAGTGCTGTGGTCTCAGCTAGTTGAGGGCTGAGGCAGAAGGTGGCTTGAACTCAGGATAGGCCAGCTTGGCAACAGGGTGAGCCACCACTTCAACCAAAGCTCAGCATGGAGGTCTGGGTGTCTGAGGGTCTGCCTGTGGCACTCCCCATACATGGCAGGATGAAGCTGGAGTTGAGGGCGGAGGCAGTGCTAGGTTCCAGGGTCTCATCTCACTGCCTTCGTGGGCATGGGTGGCTCCTGCCTGGGAGCTGCTTCTGTTTGCTCCTTTCCCTATGCTTGCGTGTTTCCACATTGAGCTGGGATGGTGAGTGGTGGGTGTGTAGAATCCCCCTTCTCCTTTTGAACTGTTGGTGTAGCCTGGCTAGAGGACTGGAGCTGCCTGGAACTGCTCCGTGCTTCTGTTCACACACAGGGAGAACGGGCTCTGGCTGCCCTCCTTACTGCATTCACAGGTACTCAGTTTGCTGCTCTGACAGGCTGAGCTTTGCTTGTGTTGTTAGATGATAGACAGCCCTCCTGACTGGCTGAGAAAGTGCAGTTTCTGTTGCTAAAGCATCTTTCTGGAGTTGCAGTCAGTTTTACCTTAGCTAGACTTGGGGTATAAATTCATGACTTGCATGTTTGGAGCCTTTTTTGCATACTTGATTCCTAGGGCTGTCTCTGTCTTTGCCTGTGCCTTTCCTTTAATTCTGGGCATTTATTTCTTTACATCTGCACCTGGTATATTTAAAGGCTTTTCTTCTCTTGGGAATCTTCCTCATTGAATGAATTTAGTTTCCTGAAAGGAGCTCTCCAGACCAAAAACACTTCTGGAGGTCAGCTTTCTTTTATTCTGGTTTTAACTTCTGACTTCTTGATTCAGAAGAGAAGTGCTAGGTGAGGCCCTCTGCTCAGCCCACTGCCAAGTTCTCCTAGGTACACAGGGATGTTACCGGCTTCTCACTAGAGCTCATATGTACTGGGAGCATGGAACTGGATGTTTGCTCAGGGCTTCTGAGTGGCTTGTGACTAGAGGAGGCTGGGAAGGGTTAGGACACCTGGAGGCAGTTGGGGCTGAACAACTCACTAACAGTGGAGTGGGTGAACCTGGCCTAGTGATCGGATCTTCTCTAGGTTTATCTCCGTTTATAACAATGGAGACTAACTTGATCCTACTTTAAAAGTGCATTAAATTTAGTCCCGAACCGTTTCTATGTGAAGAACTGTCCTTGTGGCTGCTGCTTTTGCATACCCCAGCAGACCATATGACAAACTCTTGACAACCTACAGTGTGCCCGTTTGACGAGTTGTGGGCTTTCTGCTGTGTACCTGAGGACAGGAATTGGAGGTTCATGTGTTGGACACTAGGTCTCCCATGTAGTTCTTTGTGTGGTGGTCGAGGGCGTCCGAAGCTACTCAGGTCTATACAGGCAGTTGACAGATGGCATTCTGAGGCAAGCACTGCACAGGCAGGCAGACTGCCCTGGACCTTGGAGGAGGAGCACAGGCAAAGAGAGAACTCTGCTGCTGAGCATGGAAGTAGAACAAGGAACGGGGCTGGAGCAGGGTGTATCCTGCTGCTATTGGTTTCTGTGTATGGCTTAATGCAGATTTCAAATATGGGCTATGTTCAGTCTCTTGAAACACGAACTCTTGTTTGCTGTCAAGTTCCTCTGCATGTCTGTTTGTGTGTGCCATTGGTGACTGCTTATGAACCAGCGGTCTTTGCATTTAGAGAATGTCTCCTTGTGAGTCTGTATTCCGCTCCTTGGAAGTGGGGACAATGTTGGGCAAGAACGATGCATTGTGGCCCCTCAGAGTCACTAATGGGGTGGATTCTCCTACCGAGTGTCTTAGACTAGAAAGGCTGAGTTGCCTCCTGAGAGGTCTTGTGTCTTACCCTTTCCTTTCTCCTCATGCTTCTTGTGGCTGCATGCTGGCGGGTGGATTTGGGGGTGCCCCCCACCTTGCTGGGTGTGCCTGGATGCTGGCCCTTCTGTGGAGCTGGGTTGCTGTGTTTAAGAAACAACAATTTTTCTTGTCTGGCTTTGCTTGCTAAGCATTAATTTTTTTTTCCACCTTGAGAAACTTGTATTGGAATTGGTTTATAACATAATAAATTATAAACCAGTAATATCTACAACTCAGAGAACACATTTTGTTAAAATTTTCTCCTATTGTATAGATGACTATATATGTATATATAATATGTATATATAGTCCATTATATATTTACGTGTGTGTATGCATCTGTATTCATTCTAGACTTAACCCCATAGATCATAGTGTCTGTAAAAGGCTAGAATAGAATAGAACCTAGGCTGTACACTGCTCGCATTTTCTCTTTTGTTTTTGGGAGGGGTTTGTTTTGTTTTTCAAGACAGGGTTCCTTCATGAAGTCCTGGCTGTCCTGAAACTCTCTCTGTAGACCAGGCTGTCCTTGAACTCACAGAGACCAGCCTGCCTCTGCCTCCCGAGTGCTGGGGTTAAAGGCGTGCACCACTACCGCCCCGCTCTTTTCTTTTAAACATCACACTGAACATAAGCAGTTTAGGTAGCCTGCCTGTTTTTCCTAATATCATTAAATACATTCTGGATATTTTCCTGTAAAAGTACTATAGAATACATTCTTAATAGTTGTTTTTATATCTCATTGTTTTGCTGTATAATTATTTAACAAGCTCTCTATTGCCAGACATTTAGACCTTTTAATGGTTAAAAACAAAATCAAAATTGTGTTTTCAGTGGCCCATATGGCAAAGTTACATAGAAAGGTGTCCATGGTCTCAGTACCCCAGGACTGAGGACTAGCCATGCTCCAGTGCTTTGAGTAGTTGGGATCCTACTGTGGGTGAGGAAGAGGACTAGTTACAGAAAGCAGCTAAGTTTCCTATGTGAAGAGTGATTCTAAATGAGCCTCTTTTTTCTTTTCTTCTTCCCTTGGTATTTTGGTCTCCCCACAGGGCAGTAAACGGCTTTGATCCAGCTCCTCCTCCTCCTGGGCTGGGCTCCTCACGCCCATCGTCAGCACCGGGTATGCTGCCTCTCAGTGTGTGAGTGCCCGGCCTCCAGGTGGGCCCCTGCCCTCTTCCAGCAGCCCAGGACACCTACGCCTCGTCCCTTGGTGCCTGGGTACAGCCCTGTGCCCCTCTGTCCGCCTCTTCACCGCTGGCAGAGGGCAGGCTGCATGCAGTGGCGGCTGCTGGGCCCTGCCCAGCCCCAGGACTCTGCGCGATATCAATACTGGCTATTTTCTCTTCTCGCCGTAGTGCCGTTGGTTTCACATGATTGCACTTTTGTGGGTCCCAGGTGATACACATGTGTGTCACTCGATCACTGGATGTGGAAGTACCCGTTCATCACATCTGCCTCAGCCCCGTTTTGCTGTGCTGATAGGATTTAGTTGTGTTTAGGACATTGCAGATCTTCTAGACGTTCCCCTCAATCAGGTTGATAAGACCTAAGCTCCTGCCAAGCGTCTTCAGTGCTCACAATCATGTGTCCCCAGCCTCACCCCTGCAGTTCAGGCCTGTTTCTGGCAGTCAGGAACGTCTCTGAATTATGGAACATTGTCTGTACCTTCTGACTTTATGTAAGCAGTCCATTCCATTGCTTGTTTCTCAAAGCAGCGAGATGCCTGTCTGAGCTGCAGGAGGCAGGGGCAGCTGGGACATGGGCACTCCAGGGCTGGGCCTCTGTGTTGCCCTCTCCTCTGTGCCTCAGACTCAGGAGGCAGGTGGCAACCACCTCGCCAGCTTTCCAGGCCCTCAGTTCAATGACATCTCTCAGAGCATTTTTGTTCTCTCCTCTGAAGGTCCGTCCACTTGCATTGGGAAGGGTTGAGGGGCCTGATTCTGGGGCTGCTGGTGCCAGCTCTTGGGGGCAGACTGGCTAGAGGTGTTTGTCCCTTGTCCCTTTGATTATTCTCATGCTGCACTTACTGTTTACATTTGTTTTCTTGTACATAGGTTTGTAAACATTATTGCCTAAGATATTTGTATATAACTTGGGCTTTGTAGCTTTTATTTATTCAGACTCGTACGGCATGTTAGTGACTTAAGATGGTGTCCTACTCTGGGCAGCCGTATAGGATCATCATGTTAAAAGAAGATACTTCCCTCCAAAAAAAATCTTTTAATGTGGAAACAATAAATTTCACAGAAAAAAAAAAAGAGTCGAGATTGCTTTATTTGGTTCCTGCTGTCCCATGAGAGAGACGACACAGGCAGTTCAGTGCCTCTTCTCCCACGTGGATGTGATGGAGAAGAGAGAGGGAATGAGACAGAAGATTGAGGCCACAGGAGACTGTAGTCAGTACGTTTCTAGTCTTGTACCATTTCCAGGGGCAGCCGGAGAATGGTCCAGGCCCCACAGGATAGCAGGACTGGTGGGCTCGCCATGGAGTACCTTCGTGGGCCCAGGAGCTGGTCTTCCAGCTGCACTGCATACTACATTGTTTGTCAGCAGTGCTGCGGTTAGAGACGTTACGCGGACACGGGTTTCTCCTCACATGCCTTTCCCTGGGTTGATGTTAGCGAGTGAGAGAAATTCCGCGTGTTTGGTAGCAAAGTTCCAGATGCCATGTTGAAGAAACTGTACAGTGGGGTGTATATGAGTGTGCTGTGTTCTGAACCCTGCCTGCTTAAAACTGTGCTGAGTGTGGTCTATAGGTAGGTGGATTTCTGAGTTCAAGTTCGAGGCTATCCTGCTCTACCTAGTGAGTTCCAGGACAGCCAGAAGTATGTGTAGTCACCCCGTCTCCACCCTCACCCCTCAAGGCAAACCATAGAACAGGAACAAAACCAAGTGAGCAAAACCAAAGTTAAGGAAGTCTGACTCCTAAGTGAATTGGAAACAAGCTAGCCCTCAAACTTTCTGTTAACAGATGACAACAATATCTTTATTGTTTGTTCTTAAGAGATTTTGTCCTAGGCTGACTCACCAGGAGGCACTGGTAGCCACATGTGCCCTGAATAGAAGATAGTCTATCCTGTCTCACTGCTTTGGCTTCTCCCAAACTGCCTTTGGCAGGATGGATTAGGTCAGAGTTTGAGCAGTTAGCAGACTTTTGTTTATGTGGGATCCCAAGGCCTAAAAGATACTCAGCAGACTCCTTTGCTGGACTCAGGTGAGACTGAGTCCCTTATTCTGGCCTCAAGGGATTTTTAAGGTTTTATGAGGCTTTGTACCCATGGACTTCCTCAGACTGCTCTGTCTGCTGCTGTTCGTGGGTTGACGAAGGAGAGGAGGTAGGTAGGGATGCTACTGTTGCTTTGGGTCCAGGTCTGCCAAGGCAGCAGTGTGTTACACTTACTTTCTGGCTCTTGCTGCGAAGATGTCCAGTCAGTTAGTTGTCTTTAACAGGCTTGTAGTTGTCCTCTCTCTGCACGTGACCCATGTGGAGACTGCTTGGGAGAGCTCTTCTTTAGCACCCTGTGAGATGGATGGTTCAGGATACTTTGTACTTGCTGGCTTAAGTCTTGACTCTGATAGTTGCCTGAGTGCCCGTTCTCCTGGTAGGTGCCTGTGGCCCAGCTGTTGTTGAATCCTCTGGACTAAGAATTTGATGAGCTTGGTCTGTTGGGTCTGTGGAAACCTTCTCTCTTGGAAGTGCTAATCCACACTCCCCCACCCCCATTCAATGTCTTCCTCAACAAGTAGAAGACAGGGTCCCACTTCTTGGCTCAGAATAACTAGGAACTACTAAGTCAGCAGCCTCGAAACCTACTGTGGGGTCAGGGGTAGGGGTGTGCACTTGCCCCCCAGTTTGCAGAAAGGCTAGCTTAGAGCAAGGCCAGGACTGGCCATAGGACTTATCTTTTTCTGTTGTGCTCTCTTTCCAAACGGTAGTATAGTGTGACCTGGGGCAGTCCTCCTGCCTCAGCCTCCTGAGCCCTGAGATTTGATAGCTGTGATTCACTGTGCCTGGCTTGAAGAGGCACATGCAGAAACAAGCAACAATCTCTTAGCACCTGTGTTGGGGACCAAATGGGATTTGTGCTTTTATATGATTCTTTGTCCTGCTGTTCGTCTGCACCCACAGGATTTCTGCTAGCATTTCCTGTCAGCTCTTTAGGAAGCCTTCCCTGACTGAGGCAGACGTGACCCAGCGGAACAAAGTTTAAACTTTTCACTGACTGGGCGTAAGCAGGTGCCATGCTCGACCGCCATCTCCGCTAACATGCAGTAGGTAGAGTCCTGCCTGGATTGTGGTCATGGGGTTACGCCTGTGAGGAGGAGTGAGTGAGGCTCAGTGGCAAACCCCGCTGCTTGCTGCACTAGAGATTGGAGCTAGGAAACATGTGTTGTTCGTAAGTTTTAGCTAGAAAAAAAGTTAGAATATTTACTGATTCCTGTGTGATAGGGAAGAGCTGTTCTTACATCATTTTATGTTATCCTCCAAGCCTTACAGCGTGGTAGCTACAAAAGCTTACTTTGGGGTTATTACCCCACGATATTAAGAATACGGTAAACTTCAGTGTCTGGTGGCAGGGGACGGTCGGATGGTTTAGCATTACAGATAGCAGCCAGACAGTGCTGACGTAATCAGTAGGAGGAAAACTTACAAGCAGCAACACCTCCAGTTTAAACAAATCAAGGGATGGAAAGTGTGGGTGACTTACTCTCCAGATTTTAAAATTGCCTCCAAGGTTGCCCAAATTGATCAAAGATAAATCAGCCAAAGTAATAACACCGATTTTCTTTTACTATATAAGTTGGCCTGAGACTTGTGCTGAGAGGCAGGTGATGTGGCCGTTCCAACCCACTCCATCCCAGGGAATATCAAAACAGCTTTCCATATGTCCCTGGCCCTGGACTCATGAGAGAGCCATTTTGCAGACCCTGAGACACCACTGTTAGGAGATGCCCCTTCTCCGTTGAGAACAGTGAGACAGAACTGTGGAAATGCTTATCACTGAGACCTTTACTAAAATGCTGTTATTTTCCGTGTGGGTGTTTTGCCTGCATGTGTGTATGTGCATTATATACATGCCTGGTGTTCTTGGAAGTCAGAAAAGGGTTTCAGATTCCTTGGGTCTGGAGTTAGATGGTTGTGAGCCACCATGCAGGTGCTGGGAATCAAACCTGGGTCTTCTGGAAGAGCAGCAGTGTTCTTAACCACTGAGCTGTCTCTCCAGCCCCCACTTATACTTTTAATATTACTGAAAGCTTTGACTGTCTGCAGAAAGATTTGTGTTCTTGGTAGGTGCATAGCCCTGGCTTCCCTGGTGCTAGGGTTAAAGGTGTGGCTGGCTCGCCACACCTGGCATTTCTAATCCTGTCACAGTTCGTATACCATGAGAAGGATGAGAGATGCCTAGAACTTGACTGTGGGCCTGCGTTCTGAATCATTCTTCTGACCCAGAGTTGCCCTTGTTTGGATTTTCCCAAGCAGAATCAGCATCCTTTGTGCTATGGTGTTAATGTCGCATTTCTGAGAGGTACATTTCACTGTCATTTCCAGAATTTTCTCCTAAGTGGCTGACAGCCGTTATTGCAAATTTTGATGCTGATCCTTATTATCATGAGTCAGGCAGTGACAGCCACATCTCAAGTGCCACCTACTGACAGTGGCTGAGTCGTGTGAGATTTTGGGCATTTTAGAATCTAGACCAGCAATATCATCCCAGTCAGCTGGGATGGAGCTCCTTGATTGTCCTACTTTGAAAACAAGTGAAGGCCACACTGCTGTGTCAGACTGAATTTCTAGCCTCACAGGGCTTGAAGGATCTGGGCTTCCTTCTTGGCATAGCACATAGAGAATGTAATATCCAGTCCATAGGTTGCTAGTATTGACCAACACTGTGAAGTAAACATACCCTTCCATAGCTTCATGTCACATTCCTGACAGCTATTTGACTGGTCAGGAGTAGACTGTAGGCTCTGGTCCTTAGCTGATCTAGGACAGCCTTTTAGTGGAGACTGGAGGAGACTGTTCTTAGTGTCTCAGGAAGGTAGGAAAGCAGAGGAACCAGGCAGCCTGTGGGGATGACGGTGGCCACAGGCTTTCTTCTCAGGCCTGTTGGGGCTGTGGGGAGAGTCTAATGTATAGCCATTCTGATTTGTTTCTGTGTGGGAGGTGGGGGCAAGCCTGAGGCAGGAGAGCTTGGTTTCTAGCGGTCTTCCTTTGTATTTAACATCTGTCTCTCAGTAGTATTGGGTCCAGCTGTGGGTCAGTCAAACCAGAGCAAAAGGGCTGTTGGCTAGAAGGACAGCTTAGCTAATGTTCAGGCCATGGAGGAAACTGATGAGAAGCAGAGGTCCTGGAGTCTTCCTGGTATCAGGATGTTGGAAGTCTGCCATCAAGCCAGGAATTGGTTCAGTGCTGCGGTTACAGTGTGTGTAAGGATGCCTTGTCCAGTAGAGTTTTCAGACTACACTTGACTACAGAGGGAGGAATTGTTTAGCGATCAATGGTTCCTTCAACTTAGCATCTTTGTGGAATCAGGAACTGGTCTTGGTCCACAGCATCTGTTTCTCCTGGCAGGCTGAGTTGTTGAAAAGCTGACATACCAGTCAGGCCAGACAGGAGGAAAGAAGGATTGAGACAAACAGGCTTCTCCATCCGAGCTCTAGGATATGGCTGCAAAGGTGAAACCTGTCTGGAGTGCTATCCCACCAGCCACCCTTCTTCTCCCATGGTCCGGACGGGTTTCCTATGCCCTTGTGTTGTAAGAGGCCTAAATACAGCTAGGGTGTGCGCTCACTGCATGCTTCCCTGGGGTTTCTTTGCAATCCCAGACAGTAGACACCAGAAAGGTTGCTTGTGGGGAGCCAGTGGCTCCTCTCCATTTGTTTCCTGCACACATCCTGTATAAACATGCAATCCCAAATTTTGGTATTCCTTAAAAATGTTCTAACCTAGTCTAGTCTTCAGTGACTGGGTCAAACACTCCTACATTGTCCCCTGCCTTCAGGTGTTGACCATTTGCTGTTTCTGGGAGAGCCCACCCTGGTGTGCTTGGTTCAGGCGTGTGATCCCCCTCCAGTCAGGTCACAGATGGGAAACCAACAACAGAAGGTGCGGAAGCAGATTCCATGTTCACATGATTATTCTTGTTTATTGAGGTCTGTTTGTTCTCAATGGGTGCTTTTTCCTCCAAGTAAACAGAGCAGGCGCAAATATCTATAATGAATAAATTTATTGTCTTACAAAAATCATTGTCTAGAA